AAACAGGTGGTTTGTTGATTTGAGGGGTGTCCTCTGTGTGGAGAGTAAATTAAGCTATCATATTGGTACTTGTGTTCGACTGGCAGCTGTTGGTATAATGGCTCGGCCCCTCGGACCCCTTTTCTCAGTTGACAATTTCGATGAACGGAAAACATTTTAGCTCAAGATAATGTTCCCGTGTAATGCCTAGGAGTATATGTCATCGAGAGTGGAAGAAACAATTCAGACAAGAGCATTTTTTGTTTCTGTTGAGATAGTGTGTCCTTACTCTTACGTCTGATATATTATAAATTGCATATTAAAGGAATTTTCTTTGTGTATTTTTCTCACTTTAATACATTACTTGAAACTTTATATAATTTTGATGGCCCACGTTTTGTTGGAGTTTGTATACACACATCACTCAGCCAAAGCACGCGGTCATTTGCGTGCGGTTTCTACCCACCACGGCGCTGTGATACCTTGTGTAAAGAAAAGAGAAAGTGAAACCGGTTTGGTGTTCGTTTTCGTTTTTGCATTTATCGAAAATGGTTAAACCCGATTTTAGAAACCAGACTTACGAAACACCCCCTGGGATGGTTTACGGAAAAGAGTCTTCCAGTGACATCATCAGTAGAGGTCAACCACGGTCGAATTCATAAAACGTCTATTTAATGTTTAATAACTAGCAATGGACTACCTATAGCAGGTCTGGTGGGCTTATATAGACGTTAGAAACTGGACACAGGGGTAAACGTCATTAGTTTCTCATAGCAACACTAATTATCATTTCCGACGTCATTAATTGCTCCTAGTAACGCTAATTATTATAATTCAGACGTCAATAGTTTATCATGAAAACACTCAATATGACGTCATTAGATTCTCGTGGCAACGCTATTATCATTCCCCACGTCATAAGTTTTCCTTGGCAACACTCACTGTTTTTTAATCATTAATAGTTTGTCATGGCAACATATGTTATCAATATGACGTCTTTAGTTTCTGGTGGCAACATTCGTTGTAATTTCTGACGTCGTTAATTAGTTCTATTCCTTATGTATCGGTTGACAATACTGATTACCAGTTCAGACTTCCTTAGTTTTTGTGGTAACGTGAAACTTTTATATTAAATACACGTATACCAAGTCTTAGACAACCTGTCTTCGTACAATAGGGTATATCGGATCACCCCCTGGGCAGACTTGAGATTAACATACCAGACCTTCTTATCATCAAAATAGGTGTATCCCACACTTTATTGCTGTCCTAGATAGGAAGAATAAAATCGTGTAAAATGTGAAACCTTTGTTCCAAATATCTCAAAATATATTGTGTTTTAAAGGGTTTCTAATATACATGATGAAAAAGAAAAAGGTTTATGCTTTCGAAAACATTTCATCCACGCTATACTGCATGTTTGGAGGGAAATGTTTATATATAATACTGAGTGATGTGTAATGTGTGATACCAATAAGAATTGAGAACAAAGATTAAAATAAATCAGAAAGGATTTATCATAGCTGTAGCATTCGGGACTATGGAATTATCTTGTAGCGTATCACATATATACATGTACGCATACATACATGTAGATTGTAGAACATTGTATATATATATATATATATGTTTGAACATCTTGTGGAATTTATATTTTAAATCTTGCTATTTATACTGTGAAATTATCGTTTCGTGTATATTCTCCACATTTAGTGATTTATATTCAAAACGTCTTTGAAATTATATCCGGAAGTAGTGAAATATATTGGTAATTTTGTGATTTATAGTCGAAATCTTGAGATCCATGTTCAGAAAAAAATGTGTGCTTCTTTTTCTTATTTTTTAGAAATTGTGATTTATACATGCAAGGCTGATATCCCGAGTTTGACATTTCGTCTTCTAGCTATTGGTGTTGACCTCGAGTTTATCTTACATTATGTACAATGTCTTGGGTCGTCACGGTCGGAGAAGATTTATAGCAAGTAAACGTTTACACCGACGGAACGTCGACATACCTAAATCACTGCTGGATTGGTGTACAAATCAAGGCATTGAATCTTATACTCTGACCCAGCCGTTACACAACATTTATCTGTTACGTGAATAAATGATAACACCGTAAATAAGTTAACCGATATTCTCTGTATGGATCAGCGTACACAGATAACAAGCGTCTGACTGTTAGAGTCGTGAGGTTGTGGTGTAACGTCTGGCAACACTGTTTGGAGCGGTGACTCACTCACGGTCTTCCGTCAAGAATATATACACATGAGGTTTGGCGCATTAATTCACTAAAGTTAACCGAGTGTGGTCTTTATTTAGGTCAATCGAATGTTTTACCAAGCCCGACCACAAACCATCCCCGCGATGGAAATTTCCACTGCCGCAGAAGGCGGGGCTTATGAGTTTATGTGTCGTGTGCAAAGTGGTGAATAGGTGTGTCGCGTAATGCTAATCCAACGGAACCACAAGCGGGGGTAAATATCTATAAAAGAAGGGGAGGGGCGTAGAGCACAGTACCGTGTGCAAAAACAATTTACTAGTATCCAATCACAATATTTCTAAGGTTCGTGGGCAAATCTGTATACAAGCGTGTTGAAGCTCAATCCCATTTCCATTCGGACGCTCGACACCAAACGAGATGTACCAGTCGTACACAGACGGTTTGTTGTAGAAAGCGCGCACTACTTAAACACAGACGAGATAACACCAGCGTCAGTCCTGGGATAGAGTTCACAGACAGGAGGTATGGAAATGTACCCGAATTCTTTAATACTGCAATCGTACCATTTGGACATTAACAAATCGATTTTGTCTGTGAAACATGTGCATTGGGTGGACTATCGCTGTAGCTATATTAGTTCTTCGCTGTAATTTATCGGCAATTTAGGCATATTGGTTCCTTGGTAACATTTATTGTATTGGAGATATCGTCGTACGTGAAATGAATAGGGCGTGGTTCTTGGAACATAATATTCATAAATATTTTCAGCGATATCAGTATTATTGGTACATTTTTCGTACGATAACGTCATACCCGTTTGTTGATGGTGATTATTTAAGAGGCTATATCGAGAATAATGATAATCATAGTCGATCTTGTAGGTTGTACGTGTTGTCGATGGCTCAGCGGCAAGTTGTACTTTAAAGGCGGTCTCGGCATTACTGTTGTGGTTGGTTTATATTATATCGGCCTGGTATCATAATGCATGTAAAATTTTCATTTTGTGAATTGACGATATCATGATAATGGTTTTGTGGTCAGTTATATAATATGTGTATCAGCAATATTCGATAATCGTACCTGGATTGGTTCTACGTTTTGTGTATTGGCGATATTTTCATAATAGACCATTGTTTTCTAATGTATCGTCGATAATCGATAAAATATTGTTCCTTGAATTGCAATGAATTTTGTGTCATTGTTCCCGTATTAGTTGAATGTGTATTGCGCATCGGCGATATCCGATAATCGTTCCTTGATAAGTCAACATGTAGTGAATCGGCCATATTCGATTATCGTTCCTTGAAAAGTTATATATTGTGTGTATCGGCGATATTTATTTTCGCTCCTTGATATATTGTGTATATTGTCGATAGTCGCTCCTTGAACAGTGATACATTGTATATCGGCAACATTTTATTATCGTTCTTTGATAAGTGATATATTGTATCGGCGATATTTTGATTTCGCTCCTTGTTATATTGTATATATTTTCGATAATCATTCTTTAATTAGGTATACATTGTGTTTATCGGCGATGCTAGATTATCGTTTATTGATTTAAAAACCTTGTGTGTATCGTCAATATCGTATATTGTTATCTAGTTATCGCAGGGTATACTCTGTTTATTTTGTGTATCGTCGATATCGTTATAATGTTATCTAGTTGTCACAGGGTATACTCTGTTTATCGTGTGTATCGTTATATTGTTATCTAGTTATCACATGGTATACTCTGGTTATCGTGTGTATCGTCGATATCGTTATATTGTTATCTAGTTATCACAGGGTATAATCTGTTTATCTTGTGTATCGTCGATATCGTTATATTGTTAACTAGTTATCACAGGGTATACTCTGTTTATCGTGCGTATCGTCGATATCGTTATATAGTTATCTAGTTATCACAGGGTATGCTCTGTTTATCGTGCGTATCGTCGATATCGTTATATTGTTATCTAGTTATCACAGGGTATAATCTGGTTATCGTGTGTATCTTCGATATCGTTATATTGTTATCTAGTTGTCATAGGGTATAATATGTTTATCGTGTGTAACGGCGATATTTCAATACTCAGTATTTATAGAGTGAGTCTATTGGCAGTATCCAATAATCGTTCAATTGTTTATTGTTCATTTTGTGTATCTGCGATATCCAATACGTATACAATGGCTAGTTGTTCACTAAGTTTTGTCGATTCCGTTATAATTTTTCTCCGTTAATTGTACGTTGTGTCTTAAGACGATATTCGGTTTTTTATTACTTGGTCGATGTGTATATTAGCGATATCGCTGTGATCAGTCATTGGTTAGTTGTTCATCGTGTGTATCGGCGATATCGTAACACTTTTGTTCTTAAGATGTATATCGTGTTTATCGATACCCTATGATAGTCTGTTGATAAATTGTACATTGTGTGTATTGGCGATATCCGTTAATCGTTGGTTAGTTGTGCATTGAGTGTATTGACGATACTCGTTCATCGGTTATTTGTGTCTATCGGTGATATCGTCATAATCACTACTTGAGGGAATGACATGGTTTTTTTTATCGTTCGCCCATCGTGCACACACCGTTCACACACCGTGCACACATCGTGCGCACAGCGCACATCGTGTAACGTTGTGCGATCCCACAACTGTACATATGTATATAGCTTGCCGATTCGTTATAATCAGTGTTTACATTGCATTTATGATTTCGTTATAATAATTGTGAATATTTTTACAATATTACGGCGAAATTGTCTTGATCATAAAGTGTCATTTTTAATATAGTTATAGACAATATCTAATGAAGTTTACAATAGATGGAGTGAGCTGCAGAAAATGTGTATGGCAGACATACTTAAAATAGCTGTTTTTATTTTTGATCTATCGACGATATCGCAATAATCGTTTTGTGATCAGTAGAGTCATATCTTCATCAATGTCCTAGCACGACTATGGAATTACACGTGTCGAAAAAGGTCCATTTAAATCATGTAACATCATTTTGAGATATACAACAAAAGGTTTAAAGCTGAACTATTTAGCTTAGCTATGATCAACAGATAATGAAGAAATCCAACACCATATCCGTTAAAAAGAACCAGAACGTTTTTCTGTGTGACAAGTTAGAACTTGTAGCAATTGATTTAGTTGGGTAAACTTTTCCATTATTACACTCTTGTCTAGTGTGGGTAATCTAACACCGTTACGGTCCACCTATAACACTGTAATAGTTACCAGGCTTAAGTTTGAGTGTAGGAAGACGCATTATTTGCTCCGTAAATAGTGTGTCAAATCGGATCGTAAGGCGCACATACTACCTGCTCTAGATCTACGACCCAAAGGTCATATCCAACCGCGGGCGGTGATTAACGTGTATTACATTGTAGACAAGTGTCTGCTGGAAATTTTCACTGCTCTATAGGAGGCGGTGCTAAAGGGCGTACGTGTCATGTGTAAAGCCTTATCGCACTGCCACCTGACAATCAAATAAGAATTTAAGCGATGCATAAAAGGGGAAGAGCTTCCTGACAGATGATTGGGCCCGTGTGCAAAATATATAATGTGTGTAAAGCTCCTCGGCTTCGGCATTCAAGTGTACAACGTTGGTCGAGGTGTAGGGTGATCTAGGGGATCCGGGCGATAGTGTTATGTGGGACGTACACTGATAGTGTTATGTGGGACGTACAATGTATATGAACGTCGTTTAAATCTGGAATATGATTCACTGATGTAAGGTAATCTGCATACACTCTGAAATGTACTATGTTTATAAGTTACATATCTTTACATCCTAGCAAACAACTATCCAGCACACACTTTTTTACATAGGTTATGTACAATGTTTTATCATGAACTCAGTTACCTTTTGTGGTTTCACTTGCGTTGACTTGTGTATAAAATGTTGATAATACGATTGTCATACTGCATTTATGACAACAAGTTTGGATGCTTGTTTGTTTGTTTGTTTGATTTTGTTTAACGTCCTATTAACAGCTAAGGTCATTTAAGGACGGCCTCCCCTGTGTGGAAGATGCATGCGTGCAGTGTATGTGTGTGTATTTGGGGAGGCTGTGATATGTTCGTGTTCGTCTCCTTGTGATAGCGCGGAACTGATGCCGACTTTATAGTGCTACCTCACTGAGACATACTGCCGAAGACACCAAGCAGGACGCCCCACCCGGTGACATTATACTGACAACGGGCGAACCAGTCGTCCCACTCCTAATTTGCTGAGCGTTAAGCAGGAGTAGAAACTACCATTTTTAAAGACTTTGGTATGTCTCGGCTAGGGGACAGAACCAAAAGCCTTCCTCACAGGGGCGAACGCTCAACAAATGGCCAAAAGTGAAGCATTGTCAAGGGAGACATTAGGAAGACGAAAGTTATTTAGAAAGGAGAGAAGAGATAAGGTCCCAAATTTAGTCGCCTCTTACGATCATGCAGTTGGAGGCAGCAAGTTTGGATGCTCTTCTTGTTTAAATATTACTTGAACGTTATTAATATTCCGTCATAAAACATGCAATCTAGATTTAACATAAATTACTGAATTGAATTACACAGCGATGTCTGTATTTTGTGTCTGTCCGGAGAAGACTTTGTCAATTTTTTAAAACTTAATTACTTCAACTTTATTTTCTTTAAATACAATTCCAAATTGAATTTTTGATTTGACGATTTTGAAAGAGTCATTATACTTAACATATTTTCCTCCCGCCAGTTTCAGTTTGGCCAAGTTTTTTTCCCTGTATAATCCGCAAATTGTTAGTTTATTGAAATTTGGTAGGCTTTATAAATTTTATATTCAGAAAGGTTTTGCAGAGTAATTGCCCTTTACTATCAACATGCTTGTTACGTATTCATAATTAGTGTGCAGTGTTTTTGTTCAAAATGCAACGTCGATAATCAGAGCTAATCAAAAAGAAATAATAGTGGATCCCGGAGTTCCTTTCCATGTGGCTTAATGTAGGCTCATATTGAGGATAAAATTAATGGTCAAAAATTGACATATTATATTGTTCATAAAAGATTACAAACTTATTTACTTTAAGCATTATATAAAGGAGATGTTATTTTCTTTCGCTTATGTTGAATTTCTATATTTTATTAATTGTATAAATATATTTATTTTGTTACCTAGATTGTCCTGGCTTGTGCTGCATTCATCCGCTGATATTTCCTAGAAACCAGATCGACTCCAAACAGGTAACTACGCCACCAACCGGCTACATACGAATCGAATGGCGGATATTTTGTTTGAAATAAAATATATAAAACTTAATCAGTTTTTTGTTTTTACCATGAGTGTCCTAGCATTGTCAATGATACATGTTTAAAAATCATCATATCATTTTTACTTATGAATTATTTCTTACTTGTCAGCTTTAGTTATGTAACTTTCTCGTAAGTGTTTAAAAAGTTAAAAATGAATTTGTACAAATTTGTATTCTTCTTTCATGATGTGTTTTCTTCATTATCATCGAATTACTTTTGTATCATCCATTCCTATTTATTTATTGTTTCATTAGGTCTTTTTGTTTGTTTTATGTTGTTTCTGTGGGGTATTTCTCCATCTTCTCTATATAGTTATTTGTTACCACCGAGAAGCTGTAAAATTAATCATGCATATCTTGATACTAGCATTACATTAACGTTATAAACCAATGAAGCAACGGGCGAAATCTAACTCCGTACACGTCTATGAATAGACCAACCGATTGAAATCCAACTCCATCTAAGCTTATGAATAGACGAACAGGTGAAATCTAACACCGTACAAGTCTATAAATAGACAAACCAGGGGAATCCCACTCGGTACAAGTCTATAAAAAGACGAACCAATGACACCCAACTCGTTGCCAGTCTGTAAAAGAAACCAATGGACTAAATCGGTGTTCATTCATCGTAAATAATATTATACTTTATACGGTATCCTAACATATACAAAAATGAAGCAAACCTAAATGTTCGATTGCCCTTGTCGTCAGCTGTGTTCATAGGATATATCCTTGGAGGATGCATTTGTTATTCTTTGATCAGTAATTAAATAAAGGTGTCGCATCATGATTAGAAGTTTAGAAAATAAATATTTGGTGTTAAGTTGTGAAATAAATACTTGATAGTGTTTGTATGGTTTAATAGACACACATGTATTAAATAAATTAACATTGGGGACACACCATGAACATGGGATGGACTTTATAATAGGATTTTCAGCTTATTCAAGCAGGTATACGTTACAGAATTATTTTGCATCGACATTTCAAGCTGGTGTGTCGGATAGTCGAATTACTATTTCTTGATGATCTGTGTGACGGTAGTTTTAGTGCGATGTCGCAGCTCTCAAGTACCTCGTTGAATGCGGCATATTCTAGGCTTGTCGCTGTCTATGTGTCATAACATTATAATAAGGGAAATTTAGATTGAAAATGAGCTTCTTTTCATAGCAATGATGATTTTGATCGCCAAAACCAGTAATATTTCTAAAACAAAACACACCCAAAAACAGGCGTTTCATATCTCTGACTTAAATCTTATTTTCGGTTCTCTGGGTTAAAATAATAAAATATCTTTACTACGGTGTCACCGCTGTCTCCTGGCTGCTGTTTTTTTGTTGGCCTTTCTATTCGAAGACTTGCCATGTGCACTTCTATTAAACCTTACTATTTGTAGGAGGTGAGCCGTATCTATCAGCATGCCTGTCGTGTTCGGAGTAGAAGTCGGAGATTCCAATGAAGTCGACTGGGATTGGGATGCGGAGCTAATAGATACCAATACGGGAAAGAAAGTATTTGATCTGAGTCACCAATATGTTCCTCCCGACCAGCTTTTTGCCAGTTCAAAGGATGGACCATGTCTTCTGAGCTGCCATAGCTGTGCAGCAGTGATGAAAATAGAGGAACTCATTCAGGTGAAAAGAGAATTTCACCCTGAAGTTGATGTTGATGATGTTTTCAGTGATATGGAGAACAAATATCGTTCAGAGATTGCACCGATATGTTATGCATGTGTGCAAATAATGACTGGAACACCAGACATTGGTTGTCCATCTGTGTTTTCAGAAGTCACAGAAGCGTATGACCATAGAAACAATTACATGCCACATGCGAGTAATTGGACGGCCACATCTGTAAAGGAGGACGACGAAGACCAACAAGAAAATTATAACAATGCTGAAACTACAGACAGGACACTGCAAGATCATGCAACTGTGAAAAACGACCCGAAATCCATTGATGTTGAAAACGAAGACTCGGGTGAAGAAGAGATGGACAACGGCGATACCTCTGGTGGAGATGTTAAAAAGCAGGAGATGATGGAAGAATATGAATCTGGTGTCAATTTCCCGGTTGAAGATACAGCGATGTACACATGCAAAGACTGCGATTCTGAGTTCAAAACAATGGACGAATTCGGGAAACACACAAGAACGCATGACCGAATCAACGCGAGGAAGTGCCCAGCTTGTAATGTACACTTGTCTAACAATAAGTTTTATGAACATTTGAAAAGGCACGGTAGAACAATCAAACAAACCATCAAAGAGCTGAAGAAAATAAGTCGAAAGGAAAAAATAAAGAAATTAAAGTTACGGAAGTGCTCTGTATGCTCATGGGCATTTCACAGTCGGTCTCGATTGAAAAAACATAGGCGAAAAGTCCATGTCAAGTGCATCTTTTGTAGTGACTATTTTATGGATGAAAAAGATTGTAAGAAACATATTGTGCAGGAAAAATGTAACGTGTACAGAAAATCTAAGGAGAAAGCATTCAGCATTTCCCCTCAACATAGGTTCCCCTGCACGACGTGTCAAAAGGTTCATTTTTCGCAGGATGATCTAACACGTCATCTCAAAATGCACATAACATATAAAAAATGCAGGATTTGTGGTTTAAAAATTAGAAGTGGAGAAATGTTTACGGGTCACATGCGCCAACACAGGATCGAACAGAAAGGAGATTCGATCGATTCTTCTTCCCTGACTCCCGCACCACAATGCGTTGTGGGCAAAAACGCCAGCTCGTGTACCATCGATGAAAGAAGCAGCTATGAATCCACATCACCTGCGCATACAGTACAAGAGGCAGAGGTCGATACTACGATAATATTAACCACATGGCGGCAGCTGTCTTTACGAATAAAAAACATGGCAAAATCGGATCAAGGAACTAACAGTACCGACATCAGTAGAAGCAGCATATCAAGTAGCAATGCCATTGCCAACAGCGACACCACCAATATTACCAACATTACACCAGTCAGCAACTCCCCAACCAAACGCAACCACCAAGTTTGTAGCAACAACTCCATCAGCGATCCTATCGACAACAAACAGACCTGCAGTAACATGATAACTTCTGAAGAGATGCATGACGCAATGAAAAAAGGCGGTCATAAATGCAAGAGCTCATCTTCTGAGAAGGAGAATATGACGAGGTTGCCTAAATCAGTGGAGGAAATCATATTGACAAAGAAGTTTTCTCTTAAAAGCAACGCAAAAAAGATTTATTTTAAGAAATCACCGGATATATTGCTCGCAAACAAACAGCAACTTCAACATAAGGTAATAAACGCACAAGAAAGCGTACGATCGTGCACTCCTTATGCCGGTAAGGAAAGAGACTTTTGAGAAAATCGTTTTTATGGATATAGAAATAATACTTCCCAATACCATGAATTTATAAGCAATGATAATTGATGCTTCCGGTATATTTGAGAGCATCACTTATTGCCGGAGCTCCCCCAGTGAAGTCGCGTGATTAAGTGGTAGGTCTCACCTACCGTGTTCGGCAAAAATTAGGAATCTGTCGAGTTGCGAGTCGACAGGTGTACGTTTAAGTGAACACGGGGAGCTCCATTAACAGTGATTGTACATCGGGTGAAAATGTGACATCACTGAATATTGTTATGACTGTTTAGCGATACAATTGTGTCTTTAATGTAAAGAATACGAGTGCTGGTTTAATGTCAAGGAAACGCTTTTTTTCCCGACGGAACTGATGCGAAGCAGCCTTGCTGAAATGATATAGATAACTTTGTGTGAATGCCAAAGTTCCGTGATATTGAAATCGGTACATACGTTAATCAGCAGTTTCCACTTGAAAAGCCTATTTCTCTTGGATAACCGAAGGTTGTTGATATACACAAAACGAACCTTCCAATACTATTTCAGCACAGAAAAGTGCTGGGTAAGCAGCTCTGGCTTATGATGTTCTGCAGATTTTGCAGCGGAACGTATTCAGTCACCACAACCATGCTAGCTAGCTCTGTTATTGAGTATCGACTTCATGATAGCCATGAACATGTCATTTTTATCAATTGTAACCAAACCATATTAGTTTGTGTCTAAACTATCCACTGACAGACGTTTAAATGACGAGTTGTTGATGATTGTTTTGAGGAATTGTATGCGGTGGCTGTTAGACAGTCGGGGGTCTTATTGCTAAGTAACGATGATGTGCGGTAGGTTAAGGCAATCATAAGAGCTTTATCATTACGTAGTATGAGTAGCTATTATGAAGTCGGTTGTTCTGTAGACCAATCCCTAATTGGCAGCGGTGCTGGGGTGTTTGACAGTAGGAGCTCTACTTGTACGTAGCGGCGTTGTGCCTTTTTTGAAGTAATAAGACTGTCCAGACTCCGGTCATTTTTTCTTTTTTTTTCTTCTTTTATGTTTATAATTGTGATTCAAAATTTGATTTGTCAGATGCAGTCATGCTAACAAAATATAATTTGCCCCTTTGTATTGTCGTTATTGTAATTCTTAACGGGATGTCTTTATAGACCATACATTTTTACTGTTACACATTCGTTTTGAATATGTATAATATTCCAACTTAAAGTGTTATAGAATTCAAAGCATATTTCATAACTTTAATGTTGTCTTAACCCATATATATGATTCGGTCACAAGTACTACATTTATTGATTTATGGATGGAATTAGCAAAAACATATAGGGAATATGTTGCAAATATGTTTATAGAGTTATTGTGTCTTAAAATATATCAACTTTAACTATACACGGAAAAAAGCATTGGTGGAATTTTCTGTTATCAAATCTTGCTTATTACGGAACAGAAACAATTTGTGAGCCACATGGTATATTGTTTTGCCACGGAGTTATATAATTTTCATCAATTAAAACGATATCATTTTTTCGAATATTTTAAAACTTCTACTCTTACTTTGCATAATGATATAATACTCAGACAGGAGTTATTAGGGCCCCGTATCGAAGATAAGGGTGCCCTATAGTAATCACTCTATCTGACTGTCCGTCCACAGAGTCAACTGACCAAAGGTCAAGGTCTTTGGGTCAAAGGTCAAGGTGACATTGTGTACCTTTTTTTACTGTTGAACATTTCGTTATGACATTATGAAGCAAAGCTGGTCGGAATTAAACAAGGAGTCATTTGACCAAAGGTCAAGGTCACTGGGTCAATGTCAAGGTCATTTTTTTTTTTTTTTTTACTGATAAACATTTTGTTTATGTTATTATGAAGCTAGGTTTTTCAGAACTTAACACGGAGTCAACTGACCTAATGTCCAGGCTACGGGGTCCAAAGGTTCAAGGTCAAGGTCAAGTTTTGTATTTTCACTGAAGTCAACTTACCAAAGATAAGGGTCACTGGGTTAAAGGTCAGGGTCATTTAGGTCCAAAGGTCAAAGACCAAGTGGATCTCGGACTTTGATCCTGGCTCTTGATGGAGGAGGTATTTAAGGTGAAATGAAACAAATCAAAGCTAACAAATGAGTATCGCTCCGGAATTTAAATTTCTGTAAGCCCAGCAAATGTGAAGGTGGAAGGAAACAAGACTCACATCATATTACATGTAAAATGAATATTGTGCTTCCTTGTGATTCTTTTTGAAGTCCAAATGTCCAACGTCAAGCTCACCTATATGGGCAGATTGCTTCTTGGTGATTATGGGGAGTATATTGACACAAGACAGGACCCTTACTGACCTGTCGGTGTTCTAGTTATCATTTGTTAACCACGTGGCCAAAGAATTCGAAATGATACGCTGTTATACGTTTTAAGCAAGGTTTACTTGATTAAGTTGATACGATAGAATAGTTTTATAGAATAGTTATAAATAAAATGACATTGTTATCGTCTGAATTGTGTCTATGTTCTTAATGTACATATCCAAGGTAATATATTTACTCTATTTTCTCAGCTAAATATAACAAAATAAACCACAGTATCAGGACACAAAGGCAAAACATTCCCACCATTCACTATGTTATACCCTTATTTCCTGTTTATGAATCCATTGTCATCCCTATGTCACAATGTTTCTTTCACCCCTAAGGGCATGACTCTCAGTGGTCGTATAATGTCACCGGATGCAATCAAGTGAGGTAGCGCTCTAAACCGGCATCAGATCCACGTTTTGGCAAGGCAGAAAACACATCAGCATGCCCTGCCTCCTGAAAACATACACACAAGCACGCGTACATTGCACACATGGAGTCACTTCTTGTTAATACAGGTAGGATGCTTAACTGAATAAAACCAAACCTTAGGAAATAATTCCTCTGTCACCACAGGAGTATTTTTTAAGGATTGAATCTTGCTTTGGTTGATTCCATGGGGTGATAAATTGAGTTGGTATTAAAACAAATTTAGCATGTACTACGAATATTTCAATCAACATGGTTTTTTTCAATAATTGGAACTTGTGAAATTCCATTCTGATAGTGTGTCCCAGAATTTGGAGTTTGTACAATTCTACGTAATGACGAAATGAATAATAGTATAGTCCATCATTGAAAGGCCATTAACAAAATGATGTTTTACGCGCGCGTATAGTTCAAAACAGCCAAATTATGAAGAAACCAAACACTATTTTTTTGTGAATGCCATATCTAAAGATTGTTGATGTATGCATACGTTTAGATATTTAATTTTTGACACGCCATCCCGGAAGAATAATGTCTGGACGCAGTGCGCATGCTCAGCTGTTCGTCGACGACAGCCATCTTTTTACTAGCTCGAAGTGAAGAACCGCTAAATATCGAGGTCCTTCGTCTTCCGGAATGTGAAACTGCATTAATTGAATGTTGAATTAGACAGTAAACCAGACATGGCTTGAAAGGACGAAATAATTTGACATGGCAGTTGGCTGTTCGACTGAATTTCATATTTGACGTCACCACATGGATGTGTGATCCACGTTGTTTTCGCCATGTACCGGGGCCTGATACCGACACAAGAGGCAGAATGGGTAGCTGGAAGGATAATATCTATGGAAGCACATGAAGGGTGAATAACAGTTGCTTATATTTTGCTGATTTATCGTCTTTGGTTACTCGAACAAGTTCTTGTGTAGATTCTATAAAAATGTAAAATCTCGTACAAGTGGCATGTCCTTTGTTTAAAAATGTCAATAGTTGTCTTCCTTCTCAAAATCTGAAAATATGTATCCATACGCACAGGCAAGGTTAATCTTGTCAATTTCATTTGCAAATGAAACAGGTAACATTTGGTAGTTGCATTGAGCCCAACTTAGAAATCATTACTATGGGTATGATGTACAGTGTGTTGACAAAAACCATATAGGACCTCACGGGAACAATACCATATGACGTCACAATCAACTACAACGAGGGCGGTCATGGTCAAGTCAGGTAAATTTTAAGATTTCATTGCGAACCATTGTTTACAATCTTAAAATTGAAAGGATACGAGAAAAAAATCATTCTCTACGATGTGGGTTATACCAGGGAAATCCTGACCCTCTGGGTGATATTCTTAAACATCAAATTAAAGCAAGCTTCAGTTTAGACACTCAAGAAAAAAATCAACACACGGGCAAGAAATACAACAGCGTCGATGCAAAATAAGGTAAATCGAGTTGATGCGAAAAACCTTAAATAAGTCTAAATAACCACAGAATATTTCAGGTCGAAATTCGGATCATGACTACGCCTTTCAATGCATTCCATACAAACTAAAGTATCTCGAGTTGAAAACCCCTTTAAAGAAGTGTTTTGATCAATAGGGCAAATATACTTGGGACAAGGAAACTACCGACCGAGAGAATAAAGCTTATCTTTCATGGAGTTTGGTAATGTTATGACCACTGTTGGAATACTGTATGTAATTAACAAGATTAAAAGTGAACGAAATGTGGTATAGGTTTAATTTGCAGTTCAGGGGGATTAATAAGTAACTCTCAAAATGCTTCGAGGAGAAAAATAAAAGAAAAAGAAAATCAGTCTCCATGCCTATGGGGTTGTGCCAATCCCGATCCAAGTGCGGTTTACTCTGAAACTCCACTGCAGTATCGAACAAGTCGAGAAAGGGCTTGCAATTGGATGCACTATATCAATTATCCCGTTTGCTATGAAAATGCATATCGCCATCAAAGCGGTGAGATAGAGAAACAAAAGGACCAGAAGTTCAGACAGGAATGTACCAACCAGCGAACCGGAGAATCGTGAATGATTTAAATACTTACCAGAAGACATACTTTCTCTCAATATCATCGGAAATACTCCAATGAAGTTCAAGACAAAATTCAGATCACAAGGAAAGACAACCTTGCCAAGTTTAAGTCAGAGATCAAGAAGAAGGCAACAACATAAATCAGATAAAAAGTTGTTCGCTGGTTCGTTTTACATCTGCAGTGGAGGATTTCAAAGTATCCGCCAATCCATCTCTGATCCAAGTCGCTAATCTGCTCGAAACGGCATTGGCAAACACCGTTTACTCTTTTTTTTCGTGCATGTGAGAGTCATGTATCTCGATCAGGAACAAAATGTGTATGTCTCAACTGGTTATATTCACCAGCACCACGCTGCCTTCATTGTATTAGTGCTGTGCATGTAACGTCGATTTCGTTTGTCGATAAAGGACGGTTGTTTGGGTAAGGCTGCTAGTATTGAAGGCTGTCGTTCATGTATTGTTTGATGATTTCTCTGTTCGAAGATATTGTTAGACTCTCGTCGCTGCGGTGTGAGTCGACGCAATGAACTCGACAGCTTACAACACCTAGAACAACGCCGCTTTTAAGCAAGTTCGGGTAATAGGAAATACCTTCCACCTTTCTCGACGAATGGACAAAGTTATAAGCTTTCGTCAGCATTTCGTTTTTTGTCACAGCGATGTGATCGTGGCAATGTTTCAAGGTTTTGACCCACTAAATGAGGTGCAAATGAAGTGCTACACCTCATTCTAGTGACACGTGTCAACCCAAATGAGATGCAAAGTGGCCGCCATAAGGTGCAAAATGGCCGCCAACTCAAAAATGAGGTGCAGAATGTACGTGACAAATCGGCATGAGGTGCCAAATGGCCGCCATCGAAAAAATCATAAAATTTGAAGAAAGAAAAAAGAAATTGAAAAAGAAAGAAAGAAAAAAAAGAAAAAAATAAAAAAATTTGAAAAACAAAATATAAAAGTATGAGGGGAAAAAAATGAAAAAAAAATGATGTTTTTCAAATAGAATAATTTTAAATATATTTCATAATTTGATTTTTTTTCTCAAAATGGCTGTCATCTCAAAACATGAAGTGAAGAGTGTACGTGTCAACCAGGCATGCAAAATGGCCGCCTCCCCTGTTTAAAATCGGACCAGTACGGCTAGTGGCCGGCATGAGGTACAAAATGGGCGCCATATCAAAATGAGAGAAACATTTAATTAACGTGACGGCTAGTATACATACTACAGATATTTGATTAAACTACTTGTGCTTACAGTCGATCAATTGATCCGTATTGACTGCTATTTGATGACGTATGTTGACACTAACCTGTATAGACATGTCGTCCGGGACAGTAAACTAGTCTAGACCGGTGGTGTCAACACACATGTGACGGGTATGGACAGGTACTGGTAATTAACTACCGGCTTTTGTACATTTTTTGTACGGCTTTTTTTCTGTTGTTTTTCTCTTTTTCTCCTGCTTTCTTACTTGTCCAGGACAAAGTTTGATATTTCGGTTATAATTGACGACAATCTTTGCCATTGTATTTCAGATAGTTCTATCGATTTAGGATGACCGCCATATCTCCTGAAACAGACACTTATTGTCGTACCCGCCTTCACCACTTCAACAAATACCGGTTGACGTAGCTGGAAAATGAACATTTCTTATTATGAATAGTTTCAAAAACAAAATGCAATTAACTCCGTAAAAATATATATTTTTTTCAGTAAATCGATAAACTTATTTCTTTTTCAGTTGAAAGATATTGATATTGTCTTAGAAACTCAATAATATCTTTCTCTTTCATATTTCCATCTGCTTGACTCTCAGCTTCTTTCTTCAAAAGTCCCTTTC